CAAGAACCTAAACACTAAGGAGCTGGGCCTGCTAGGAGAGAGGTGGCCAGTGGTCCCACCACACAGCCAGGAGGCGGCTAAGCAAATCAGGAGGGGGCCAGGCCTCCAAGGGGCAGGGTCTTGTGGATGTTACAAGTATAATGAAGCCCGGGATCAGTTAACAAAGGAGGGGTTATACTAAGAGTAGCTGACCTGTACTAAGCACCGTTTGTGTGCCAGGCACCATTCAAATCTCATTTTATCTTCCCAGCAACCCCGTGAAGTAGGAACAATAAGTAGGAACCCCCCAGTTCCACAGGTCATATCTGAGTCAAAACAGGCAGTAGGGGGCTTCCCTGGTGGCGCAGTGGTTGAGAGTCCGCCTGCCGATGCAGGGGACACGGGTTCGTGCCCTGGTCTGGGAAGATCCCACATGCCGCGGAGCGGCTGGGCACGTGAGCCATGGCCGCTGAGCCTGTGCATCCGGAGCCTGTGCTCCACAATGGGAGAGGCCACAGCGGTGAGAGGCCCGCGTACCGCAAAAAAAAAAAAAAACAGGCAGTAAGTGATGGAGCCAGATCGCAAAGCCAGGTGATCTGGCTACAGGCAGTGGTTATGGAAGTGACCAAGGGGGCAGTCGGGCGGGGCCTTGAAGGCCTAATTCAGTAGGGAGTTTGAGTTTTATTCCAAGTGTGATGGAAAGCCTTTGGAGGGGGGCTGAGACTTTCTGACTCGTTCCCTTAGATCTAAGAGAGGGGACAACTTCTGGGGAAAGCCCACCATACGCTGGCTGAGCTGGCTGCTAGACCAAACTACTGCGACTTTGGCCACAGAGATGTCTAACCCTGCCCTGCCTGGGTTGGAAGAGCTCTCCAGCCCCTGCAGAATTGGATGCCACCTTCTCTCTAGCCCCGGACCAGCACCATTAAATCACCAGGATCTTGTTAGAAATGCAAATTATGGGGTCCCACCTCAGCCCTACTGAAACTGAAAAACTCGGGCCATCTGTTTTTAACAAGCCCTACAGGTGTGTCGAGTGTGACACATTATCCGCATGGAGCCATCCCCACCCCCCTACCCTCCCAAATCACGCTCTACTTGTCCTCGGGCAGCCTCTGCACTGCGCACCAAGCCATCCTCCCCTCTGGACCCTACTGGCGGGGTTCTATGGCTCCTGATGCCTAGAAATCTCACTATTGCCCCAACCTACTTTTCTAACTAATTTGATTTCCTAAAAACATTGACTATTCAGCTATTTAGGCCTCTTCTACCCTGGAAGTAAAACTTCTCTTCCTTTCTACTTCTAGAGCTTAATTCTGCTTTCAGCCTTGTAGCCTCCAAAGTAGACAGCAAGGATAATTTCTGCTTTAACCTAGACCTTCCCTAACACCCCTCAGTCACCAGATTTCTCTTTATTCATTCATTCCCACTCTCATTTATAAATTCCTACAAGTATCCATGCCCTCAGCTAGGAACTAACTGCACTAGGTGCCGGGTACTTCAGGGATTCCTAAACAGCTCTCATCCCTGCCCTCGTTTCTGACCCCTTAGTGGGGGGCTGGGGGCAACATGCAAATAAATACATAATTACAAATTATCTACGTATACTAGAAAGGCCTCTGAGGAGGCGGCTGGGCTGAGACCTGAATGATGAAGAAGCAGGCCTGATGGTAGTTTAAAACAGCAAATATTTGCGTGTTGAATCCATGCCCTACTCTGGTCTAAGTGTTTTACGTTTACTATCCATTTAATCTTCCAACAGCCCTAAGGAGCAGGTAGTATTCTCATCCCGACTCTACAAGAGGGGATATTGAGGCACAGGGAGAATAAGGAGTATATGTAAACAGCAGAGCCAGGATTCAAAACCAAGCACACTGGCTCCAGAGCCTACCTACCCTCCTAACCACAGGATTCGGTGATGAGAGCAGGGTGGAATGGTGCGGGTGCGGGTGGAAAGGTAGACAGGGGTCCAGGCAGGCAGAGTAGCACGTGTAAGAGCCCCAGGGCAGAGAAAAGTCAGACTGAAGCAGAAACGAAGTGGAAACTGGTGAGCGGTGAGGTGAAACTGGGGAGCGGCAGATGGACTGGAAATATATTTGGATGGGACAAGATGTGCTGACAGGTGTATTATGGGGTTTAAGGGAGAAGGAGGAAACAAGGAGAATTCAGTTTTCTGGCGCCCTATTTTCAAGGCTTGAGGACAGAGGGTAAAGTATTATAACACAAGATATACTAAAGTCCCGCGGAGCGCTGAGGCACAGCAAGCTCTCAAATGAATGGACTCCATCGATCAAGCAAGTTAAAGCTTCTAGTTCCCCCCCCACCCCACCCCCACTTCTCTACAGGAGGTCTTCATTCAAAGGTCCCATCCTGTCCCCCAGTAGCTATTTTCCAGAACACTATTAGCCCGGGTTAACAGCAGTAAAAGCTGCAGCTCCAGTAATAAGAATAGCTTTACCAGGAGGAGGGTTTTTCTCACAAAAATGTAATGCATTTAGAACCAGGATTCTCAAATTTTTCTAAACAGCACAATGATACTAATTTACAAATGAGAAGTGATGCGGCTTGCCCGAGGCCACACAAATGCAAAGAGGCTGAACCAGAATCCAAATCCAGGTCTGCCACACTTCCTCCATTAAATCAGCATTTCCCACAGTGTGGGACAGGTCTCTCTGATGGAATACACCAGTGGTTTTAGATGAACTTTTTAAAGTTTTAATACTTATGGTCTTGTTTCAATATGAATAATCATATATGTGTGTATATAACATCAAATAAATAAAAATTTTAAATGAGATATATACATGATTTGATATGAATATATATATATATATATATATATATATATATATATCACATCAAATCCATGACTTCTTGTGTATTACTGCCTAAGAAACAGAAAAGGTTTCCCAAAAGTTAAACATTAGAATAAAAGTACAGGTGATAGAGAGACAGAAGAGAAATCTTGAGGTGACGCATAAATAACTGAAGCTTGTGAAACACTGCTCACCACAGCACCGCCCAAGAACAGCCAAGCACCTGTTCCATGTTGTATTCAAATCTGGCTACAGCCACACATAACTCTGACTCTGCTCCAGAGGAATAAAATGTTGGTTGCCTCTGGGGAAAGGGAATAATATCAGAACAACACAATTTAGCATAAATCATCCTTAGCACAGTACTGGTCTTGACATAAGATACTGTTTAGGTCATCCAACTCCTCTGCTGATTCACCACACACCTTAAGTCAGGTAAGCTTTCCTGGGCCTCAGTCTCACTTTGTCCAAAGGAAGTTACAAAAAGCAGGCTCTAAGGTCACTTCCAGTTTTAGAGTTCCATAAAATGTCATAAAGACCCTAAAATCCAAAAGTATTTTTTTCCAGAATCATAGAGGCCCCAACCCTGAATGAGTGTCGACCTGAGGTATAAATGTTAAATAACCCCACAAGGCATCCCAGGCCCCCATCCCTTAACTGGGGAGATGCTATCAATTATGCTGCCCTCTGGAAAGATGTGACAAAAGACATTAATTACAAGATGATATGTCCCTGTCCCCACCAAAACTTTAAGAATTTTCTGCCACAAATGTTTAAGTTATTAACTTTCTCTATACTTGGTTGTTAGTGTTTGTTATTTCGTCTGTAACAATTAACTTTATTCTGGGTGGCAGTAGCAGGGAGAGAAATGGGTAGGGAAGAAATCTGCAAAATCTCATCAAACTCCTATCCTCATATTAAGCCTCCGCTGAGAAACACCTGTAAAACCTTCCAAGCTTCCATGTGAATTACTCCACAGATGTTCGAACACCTTTAATATGCTAAACATCTAAAAGGAGTCCTCACTCCTTATCTTTCAGAAACATTATGAACAAAACAGTTTAACCAGAACAAGCATTCTTCCTTTATTATTGAAATAGATACATTCATCAAAAGGGAAGTCTTAAGGACCCTCCTGGCCTTCTTTACAAAGCCCCTTCTGTGATGTCAGTAGGCCTGTAAACTTTTAATACAAGGTTTTTAGGTTCCCAGAAAGAGAAGTTTTGAAATGTGCTCACTTCATGTTTAGCTGAAGACAACAGAGGATGGGTGGGCTGCACCTGGCAAACTCAGAAAGCACAGCTGGGTAGCAGGTGATCTTTAAAAAAAAAAAAAAGCAAATCCCGGGGCAAATTGCGGAGCCAGGGGTGATCATTATAACTGGAGAGTTGTTACATAATTACTTGTTAACTACTAACAAACATATACAAGGCTTCAAAATGTCATGGTTACTCTAGCCATCGAAGCTAGTGTATCTAGTGGAAGAGTCCAGGTTCCTCCAATTAATTTCATTCAAAGAAACAAGGAATCCCAGGACCTATTCCCTTCCAAGGTAACCTGACTGCCTTTACATATACAAAACAGCCTCCAGCAATTAAGCCAATCGCCTCTAGGGATGAAAATCAGTGTTTCCCTTTCATATTGATTTTTAAAGGGGAGAGGGGAGACAGAAGTACGTTGCAAGAGCTAAATATTCATCACCTCGACAAAAACGACTTCCACTCCGAACTGGAAAATTTGAACAGAAAAGGTCTTCTGCCACCCCACCCACAGCCGCCCCTGCTCGGCTGGCGCAAAACCCAAGACCCGTGTCGGATGCACTGCATTCCAACATTTTTCAAAAAGTTTACGAGGCTTTACCGAAGCGGCGGGGAGAAAAATAAAGCAGGCAAAAGCCGGGGAGAGGGAACTGGAGGGTTTCCGTAGGGAAGAACCGGGTGAAGCGCCCGGCTGCGCCGTGCAAGGCCCGGTAACGGGGAAGCGACCCGGCACCCGGAGAGCGAGCGCCCCCGTGGCGCGCGGGGACTGACAGCCGCTCGGTCTCCACCGCCGGGGGTCCCCCAGCCCCCCAGCCCGGCCCCCGCCACCAGTCCCCCTGCCCACCCTTCCCCCGCAGCGCCGGCGATGCCCGCTGGGCCAACTTGGCCCCGGGTCAGCGCTGCGGAGCGCGGCCCCGGTTGCCGGGGAGGCCGCCGGCGCCCTTACCTCCTTCTGCTTGGGGTCCTGGGGGTAGACGTCCGGCGGCCCGAGCCGGGGGCGTTTCAGCGGTCTCTGCTCATAGCTGAGAAGCCCGAAGGCGGCCATGATCTCTCATGTTAACCGGCGAAATGAATGAGAGTTGGAGCTGGAGCAGCCGCCTCTGAGCACCAGGGAGCAGCACTTTGCAGACAGACTCCCTCTCCCCCTCCTCGCTCGTGTGGCGCTGCAGGCAGGAATAAAGCAGGTTGGATGCTGCCGCTGCCCGGCACGCGGACACGCACTGATGGGGGCAGCCTTCGGCGGGCACCCTGCTGCGCTGGAGCCCCGGGACGCACCACCAGCGGAGGGGCTGGAGGTCCGCCTGGATCCTCCGAGGCGCCTGCCTCCTGTTCCCCACCACCCTGTCCCCAGGGGGAGGAGCAGCTGATGGGAACGTGTGACTTTTTTCACCAATGGACCTAAACCCACCCCAGCCGAGCGCAGGGTGGGGGTGGGGGAGGGGCGGGGGGCGGGGGGAAAAAAACTTTTCTTGGCGCCCCAGGCAGGTGGCTCGAGTGCTTGCCCCAGACGCGGGTGGCCCGCCTACCCGAGGAAGAGACTGCGGAGCGGCCCGCCCCCGCCCCCTCTTCTACAGCAGGGACCCTTCCCCCGCCGCCACGCGCCCCGCAGACCCCGCCACCTGGGCGCGGACCCGGTTGGGAAGGAGGGGGAGAGACCTGGAGGGGGTGGGGGAGACCGGGATGCGGACGGTGGGGAAGCGGCCGGTGCCTCCTAGACGCCCGCCGGGCTCCGGTGGCGCATCCGCGGCTCCGGTCCCCTCAGCGGCTCCGGGCAGGCGCCGAGGAGCGCTGCTAGCGGTCGCAGCGGGTGGAGGGGGCCGTGCTCACGGTGGCTCGGGGCCGACTTAACCCTTTGCTGCCCCTCCAGGGGCTGGGGAAGTGGGGGTGGTGAGGAGGGTTGGCAGCGAGTGCCGACGGGGGTAGCTAGCCCGCGGGTATCTCGAGCTCCTCCAACCCCCCGCCCCCCCCCC